GTCAGCAAAAATAGAAAAAAAAACATTTTTGTCTCATTGTTAAAGCTGACATAACTATAAATGCATAGATAAAAAGGTAAAGTGATTCATCATCTTGAAAGAACTTTATCTACTTGGAAACTGTGTATAAGACAAATGCATCTGCGCATGAATCAATGTTCATTGGTGTTGGCTACAGCAGCAACCAACAGGGTTGTATTACCATGAAGAAAAAATGATAAAAATAAAAAGCTGAATTGCAAAGGTCGAAAAGAAAATTGCAGAACAGATGTTTTTGACTTACTGGTCTGTTTACTGAAGTTGAATATAGTTACCTAAGCTGGTCTACCTTATTCAGATATTCAAGGGGGTTGTGTGGTTGCTTTGTCAATGACTATCTAATCTAGCAGATTTCTAAAGAAATTTAATAGTAACTGATATTTCCTTGCAACTAACAACAACCATCTCCTGACAGGAGAGCAGTTCAAGACAATTCACCTCAACTCCCTCTTGACAAAAAAAAAAAAAATGCAAGTATATAAATTTCCCCAAGCTTTTTACTTTGGGGTTCCTGATCAAGGGTATTCTGAGTATGACAACTACATCTGGCAGCAAGGCCTCTGATCGGGAGACTGGAAGTTTTGAGGAGCATGGAACCTCCTTTTAACTGCTGTTGTTCTCAGGTTCACCCTGACCTCGGATGGTAGCATGTGTTAGGGTCTCAGCTATAGACAAATAGTGAACTTTTCAAATAAAAATCAATATATTTTTATAAGCAAATTAACAATCAATAAAACACAAAAAAAATAAAAATAAAAATACATTTTTGTAGTAAAATTTCCAACATGATCTGCAAAGTATATATATGCATATATATATATATATATATATATATATATATATATCCTGAAAGTATAAAAATATGTACAGAATACCTGTAGTTGAAAGCATAAAATTACCTACAAATTAAAATAAAATTATGTATTAAAATTAGAGCCCTATAAACAATATTTGTGAGTAATTAACCCAGGTTTTCCCAGTGGATATATGGAAAAAGAAGGCATCAGTTTAAACTGATGCCAGGAGGAATTAGGTTAAAGAAGGTAAAAAAGGATTACCAATATCCTCCTGGTGTCCGTTTAAACTGACACTTATTTTGCAACATATTGTGACCATTTTGTTGAAAGTTCACATTTTTTTCATTTCAGATCAAAGCTTTGACATTTTTTAACATATTTCAATGAAATTTTCACATTCTAAATTATAATTTAGATATAAAAAAAAAAAAAGAAAAATATGGCAACCATTTAAAGTGACACCTGAAGTAGATGGGGTGATTGTTGTCAATTTTTGTTTAATAACGAAACATTTTGGTTTCACAAAATGTACCTGAAACAGATTTGATTATTTAAATTAATTACATAATTTTATTCTCAGGTCAAATAGAGGAAATAATTGTGAAATTAAAAAAAAAAAAAAAAAAAAAAAAAGAAAGAAAAAAAAATCATAAAAGTACTTTGTTGCCTCAAGCTTAAATGATTGCTTGAATTCTAATAATAATGTCATCCTGGGTGCAATGATAAATTACATCTGGCAGGAAAGCCTCTGATTGAAGATTAGAGGTTTTGAGAGCATGAAACCACCTTTTAATTACTTTTGTGACCTGAAGTGGAAGCACCTGTTAGGGTCCAAGCTATGGGCAAATAGTAAACACCCCAAACAAAAACTATGAAAATATAAAAATACATTTTTATAGTGAAAATACTAACAATACATTTTTATATATATATATATATATATATATATAAAAGAACTATTTCATGATATTAATCCATATAATATCCTACAATTTCTTAAATCAAACTATATTCCAAAATATAACTTAAAAAAAAAAACAACATAAACACACATATTACCACCTATACTAATTATGGGCATACAAACATGTATATGCACAAAAGATGAGTATCATCTACCATGTATTCAATTGTGAAAGCAGAATAACATATTTTCATTACTTCAAAGCTCCCAAGAAAATTAAATTTTGGCATTAAATTACTCAAGATGACTTGAGGTACCATTAAACAACCAATAACCTAAAAAAAAAAAAAAAAAAAGAAAGAAAAAAAAAATGCCATGATAAAATTTCAACTTACTTCTCCAGACACTTTATAAAAGAACTTTTTGAATTGTTCACTGTCACTCTCTTCAATAAAATCTTTTGGTGGCTGACTCACAACAGCTGGAATATTATCAACAAACCTGAAATTGCAAGATAAAAAAAAAATATATATATATATATATATATATATATATATATATATATATATATTTTGTTATACTTTTGTTATACTTATTATTTAAATGTTTCTTCATATATCTGTTCGCCTTAATCGATGACTCTACAGCCAACGAGATTTCTTAATTTTAAAAATTAATCAGACGTTTTTCTACCAATGCTATAATACTACACATTTTAAAACAATTTTTTTTTTTTAACTATAAAAAACAGAAAGCTAAAAATGAAGGTGAAACATAATTTTATAATATAATACTAGACAAGAGAGATTATGATACATACTGATATATAAAGATGGTAAAGCCAAATTTCAGGACATCCCCCACCCAACAAAAAATCATTTAAATAAAGTAAAATATTTTTTTAATCTTATTTTTCAAAAACAAACATTTTTAAATTTCAAAATACTTAAAATGCAAAATTTAAAAATATTATAAAGTAATTCGTTTGCTTCCTTTTTTATTGAAGAGTGCACATTGCCGGTGAACCAGTAGTCATCCAGGATTGAATAATAAATTGCCAAGAAGAGTCGCATGATGTGTAGTTTGGAAGAAGGAAAAAATTGTAACTGACGGAAGGTACACAAGTCGATACCCAATCAGTATCGGCTGGGTCACCATAGAGAGGGGGTATGATGTTGAAAGACCCGAAACCCCTATTGAACCTCGGCCAGAAACATCACTGATGATGTGTACTAAAGCATCCAATAGATGTATTTTACATAAAGTAAAATATAGAATATACCAACCACAGTGGTAACAATAACAAAAGTGATAACAGCAACCATAATAATAATAGATTCACTTAGAACACCACCTAGAAACTTGGAAAAGCTCGAAGGGAGAATTGGAATTGGGACCAACATTGTAGACCTCCAGAAAACTGTCGTCATTTACTCTGCAAGGATTCTCCAAAAAGTTCTTGTATTGTGTGAAGCCTTATTGACACAGTACCCCAAGAACAATGTTATGTTGTAATAATAATAATAATTATCTCTTTTACCCTTTGTTTTGATTCCCTTCTCTTTCTCGCTCAAGTGTGACAAGCATATTAATATATGATTATGGCGATGATGACAATAAATAATAATGCAAATTTTCTCGAGTTGTACAACATGCTGCAAGAGAATTTTCATTGACTATGTCAATGTGCAGCACCAACATAATGATGATTAACAAATAATTAACTCTAAGCTTGACAAATAGTAATGATGTATTGTCACTAATAATAATAATCACTAAGCTTGGCAAATAATAATAATTTATTACAGCTGGGCAGATCACGGCAAACTAAAGTTAATTTAGTAAATTATAGAAAATTAGTTAATCAGATTGGAAGAAAGTTTGGTTCAAAAATATTAACAAGAACCCATAAAATGCTTAGAAGTTTGGCTTTTTAAATGGCTTAGAAGAATGATTAATAAATAAAAAAAATTATCCCTTTCTTTAGAAACTGTTTTGTTTACATTAGGATATGAAACTGAGCAGATATGCCTATTTCAAGAGTCAGGGAAAAATCTCTGTTTAAAGGCAGTCTATTCAACTTTGCTTGACCACTGACACACTTTGTGGCCAAGAGGTTTACATACACACAATGTTGATGCATATTCATTTTATTCCAATTACTTTTGACATTAGCACAATGTCAGGATCTTTTTTTTTTTTCTAAGACAGAAAATTGTTGTGTTCATAGAGTACAGGAATCAGTCAAACTAACTTGTTAACCATTAGGATTAGAAAGAATGGGTAAACTTTTTCCATTGTTGGCCATTCAACTCAATCTGCCAAAAATATGACACTCAACTTGAATAAGTGTACCTGGTCAAGTCTTTTAATGAGCCATCATAAAACTAAAGTCAGATCAATATGAAGCATCCATACAAGTAAATTATGTTCCCTTTATTTTCTTGTTATGTATTGTGTCCTTACAGGACATTGGGGATCATGGCTCTCCACAAGTTCCTTCCCTCTGCTTCCTCCCCCAGACCATGTTTTTCATCCACTTGCTTAAGTTCACCAGGTATGTCACACGTTGTTTTCCCATGTTTCTCTTTGCCTCTATTCGACCCGTGAGTATCAGATTCTCCAGGCCCTCCTTCCTCATTATGTGTCCCAGAAACTGCCGCTACCTCTTCCTGATGTTAAGTATAAGCCCCCTCCTTGTTTACAACCTCTCTAAGACCTGATCGTTGCTCACACGCTTGATCCATGATATCCTTAGCATCCTTCTGTAGAACCACATCTCCGTCACTTTAAGTCTCTTCTTCATGGAGGAAGTCATCCAACATTCGCTGCCGTAAAGAAGGACAGATGTCACATAATAGTTCAGTATTCTTTTCTTTGTTACCAAAGATATCCTCCGGTCTCGCAATACTCTGCCCAGCTTTCAGAATGTATTCTTGGCCATCCCAATACGTCTACGGATCTCTGTGTCACATTTACTGTCCTCTGTCAAGGCGCTTCCCAGATATTTAAACTTCCACGTCTGCTCAATTGTAGTGTTCCTGACCTGCATATTGCATTTCAGGCTCTTCATCTTACTGATGACCATGCATTCTGTCTTCTTGTAGTTTATGCTTAGTCCTTTCTTCTCACTCTCTGTCACTACCTCTTCCATTATTTTTCCTAAATAAGGGAACATCATCTACTTGTATTTTAAGGGTTCACAGTATAGGCTAAGAAGTGCAGTAGTTTCATCTTTCCTTTACCTCTAGATATCTTTGGTTTGACAACCCGTGCCGTCTTCTTTAGTTTCGTCAAAAGGAAGAATGGCATAAGCAGTTTAAACTGACTTCGTATTTTTTAGTCTGATCATGTTGCGATATATATATATATATATATATATATCATTCTTTATCTATCTATCACTTTCTCTCTCTCTCTATCTATATATATATATATATATATATATATATATAAGTGCTATTCTGTCTATATATTTCTTTTATCTCATTCTGCCCATATCTATCTTTCTATCTATCTCTCTCTCTCTCTCTATATATATATATATATATATATATATATATATATATATATATATATATCAATCTATGTCAATCTGTCTATATCTTTCTACCTCATTCTGTACATATCTATCTATCCATCTTCCTTCTCTCTCTCTCACACTCTCTCTCATCTTTCCTTTACCTCTAGATATCTTTGGTTTGACAAACGGGTAACACACTAAACACTATATGAGGGTGGGAACACTTATTTGCATGGATAGTCACATTGTTGTTGGTGCAGTGTAAAGTGGGTAGCACTACAATAAAAACACGTGTACAATATAAATAACAATCATACATATGCAGATGATTTCTACATTTATTTGCTTATTAGACACATTTCATGAACCTGCTGCCCGAATATAGGAGAAATTAATTTTATAATTAATATATTTTATTACCATTAATGAGATTTGGGCAGCCAAGGAAGTTTTTCATAATCAGGATTCTGTTTACTTATCAATGTACACACAAGACAGATTACAGATTCAAATCTTGTCAATCTTTAACCTTTGTACCTGCAAAAAACAGTATGTCAAAAGGACCTTTTACCTTTGACACTGAATTGTTTTAACTACCTGTATTCCTCAGCAATGTTTGATGTTTCAAAAAGCAAAGATTAGAATTTTAATAAAACCTAAACATATGAAAGTGAATTTATACATTTTTTTTTCTTTTTGTTCTTGAAAAATAAGATTGTTTATTGGATGAGTTGGCAAAATGTTGGATAATTGCCAATCGATTCAAATTTTATAAAATTTGAAATAATGATTTATTTATATTTGGTTCACATGTTTAAATAATTTAGTATATGTTTATAAATTTATGAATAAAAAATTGTTTTCATATTTATTTCTTTAAAAATTGGTAAATAATAAATATGGCATTGCATTAATTCTAATTGTATTAGCTTTTAAAATGTTGTAAATATAAAATTATTCTTGTAAATAAACAATCTAATTAATAGTGTTTAATATTTTTGTTGTAAATTCTCAAAAACAAAAAAATCTATAAGTTCACTTTATTATATGTTTAGGTTTTATTACAATTCTAATCATCGTTTTTTAAAAACAAACATTGTTGTGAAGTGAAGGTAGTTAAAATAATAGCAGTGTCAAGGGAAAACCATCCTTTTTGATACACTTATTTTATGGTCATGGAGGTTAAACATTGCCCAAATCTTTTTTGGTGAAACCTGTTTTTGATTTTGTTTATGAAAATAAAATAAATAGTAAATATAAACGGCTTCTGCTTTTATTTCCTTTTTTACCTGTTTGAAAGAGATATCTTTGTGCAACATGGAACAAAAAAAACAAAAAAAAAAACAAAAGAAAACGTTTATATATACATCACATTGAAACACTGGTTCCCGTACAATCACCAAAGTTAAGCCATGTTAAGCTTGGTCAGTACCTACATGAGTGACCATTGATTGCGAATACCAGGTGACGTAAGCTTGGATGTGCAGGTGGTGTAATGGATAATAGCTCAGAACTGTTAATTGGAAAGCCAAGTTTCAATGTCTGTTAGGTTCGTTATATTCGCTTAGGCACAAATACCCTTGGGAAAGGTATGAATCCACCTCTTCTCACCCCAACTATGGGTTAATTAGTAAGACTTCTATCACTAAACCATCTACTTTTTTTTTTATTTATTGATTGATTTGTCTTTTACGACTTAGAAAACCTTTGCAGGTTATTTAAATCCAGAAAATTCATTTTTTTGTAAGAATTTTGAGATAATAATGGCAAGTATCAGTGAGACTAGTTAACCTCTGTGTCAAGTAATGTTTATGTATTAAACAAGGTTGTTTTAAGAAAACAAACAAATTCTTCAGTATCTGTCTATATTTCTGAGATGAGGTATTATGTACACTATTTACATTATTCGGACTATTGTCCTCATCTTTGTCGCCATGTTTATCACAACATTTCGGCTGTTGTACACTCCGACCTTCTTCAGGTGGTTGGAATATCGAACTGTAAAACAAATTCTTGATTACTTACTCCACAAGGTTGGCTTTTTCCATGAAAAATCTTATGAGGAAACTGGCTTCCAAGTTAGCATCATATGTACAAGGCACAACAATGTATTCTCCTGGTTTTAAGGCAAATCTCTTAATCACCTGACGTCCATTTAGAAAGGCATCAACACTTGCAACATTCGAATATTTCTTGAAAAAATCTAGTTGCAAGGGTAAAGGATGATGCAAATCATTCTGCAAAAGGAAAAAAATTCAGAATAATGTTTTCACAATCAACTGTTTCACTAATATTAGTTTCAACATTTTTAGAAAGGAAAAAAAAAACACTAAAGTAGATTGGTCCATCAAGATATATACAGTCAAAGCATGTCAGATCTAATGAGGATTTCCCCCAAATGCAGGTTCGAATCCTGCTGGGGGGCGCATATTTTTCTAACAAGATTTCTCAAATATTCAGGTTGGTAGATGCAAATAAATATAATATACTGTTTAATAAATAAAAACAGTATCTACTCAAATATGATTATTCATTAAAAAAATAACATTTAAACACATACACATTATATATATATATATATATATATATATATATATATATATATATATATATGAATTGCATAAAAATGAAACTCAATTGTACCCCATTTTCATTGCTATTTTGCTCCTTGGGATAAATTCCCTGGAACTTGTTAATACTAAAACATTTATCAAACACTCATATCTGATCAAAGCGTATTTTAACATAAACAAATGACTTAGTCCATTTCATATTATACAACATAATTTGTTTGCATTAAGATAACCTTTAAGCAGATATGAGCATTCAAGAGGAATCATGGGAAATATGTAGATTAAAAGCAATAATTTTACCTTGCTCACCAGACACTTCCTCTGTAGCGAAATAGCAGAGCATATCAAACTATATGACGGTTTTGTGTAGGATACAGGTTTGATTTCTGTCGGAGGACACATATTTTCTATGAAATTTCTTGGACATTCAGGCTGGTAAGTGTTGTTAATACTGTTTATTATAAACAGTGCATTTACTTAAATATTTGTATCTATAAAAATAATGTATAAACAATAAATATATTAAAATAATTGTTGGACTTATAAAAATTCTGTGATTTCCATTGCTCCATCCATCACACCCTCTAAAATAGCTATATACTGACTGATGGAGAAATACAAACAGATAAGGGGGTACAAACAGACTTTATTCCCAAACCATCCAAATATCCTTTTGAATGGACAAGAATCCAGTTTCCAGTTCAGCCTGTGTTTGCAAGAGCTATAAACAAATCACAATGCCAAATGCTTCAAAAAGTTGGAATTTAGCTCCAGAAAGAAATATTTATGTATGGCCAATTGTATGTTGCATGCTCAAGAGTAATAAAGCTTAAGAACCTATTGTTTACCATGAAGTCCTATTAAATTAAATTAAAGAAATTATTAAACCACAAAGTTGGGTTTTTGTCAAAGTATTTTTCCAAACAAATCAGCTTATTCAAATTTGGTTTTCAAAATTGAACAAAACGTAGAGTTTGTAAATATCAACAAAAAATACTAGTGATAAATTCAACAATACTAAATACAGTGAGAATTTAAAAAAAAAAAAAATCTGGTTCATACAAAATAAGTAAAAATCTTTCTGAAAATAATTTTTATAGACTAACATTCATTAGGTTCTTCCTCAAGTTGCGATATTTATCAGAATCAAAAAATAAATTTTTTATCATTTTAGAGGGGGGATCCTATTCATAATATCAATACTGTATAAAATCGATCCCTGACTTTTAGTTATCCTCACATAGCTGTTCTGCATACAAAAACACATTTATTAAAGGAAAAAAAGAAAAAAAAACTGATATAGACATTTTTAATTAAAAAACAAAAATTTTACATAAGAGTACAGGGTACAATGAAAAAACTGTCATCTGAATTACACTAAAATGAAAATAACACTGACATCACATTTTTAACAGATATATTTACCGAAATTACACAAAAATTTCTTGAAATACTAAAGAGTAAATTTATTCAATAAAATTGGCATTGGTTTCAACCACAGCCTCCAGACGACTTTGGAATCTTCTGCACCTCTTCTGGATGGTCTCCTTGTTTAAGTTGGTGAATGCTGCCGTAATCCTTGCCTTCAGTTCATCTTTGGTGTTAAAAGGAGTTTTGTTTGTCTCTCACTCAACTGCTCCCCACACATCATAATCAAGGGAGTTGTAGTCTGAGTAGTTAGGTGGCCAGATGTAAGAGGTTGCAGATATTGTTTGACAGCCATGGCTGGGTTCTCCTGCTCGTGTGGCATGGTGCAGAGTCCTGTTGCAAGACAGTGTCTTCCAGCAGCCACCCTCTTGACATAGGACAGCAAGGGACTTGATGCAGACCTCCATGTTAAGTTTGAGGCCCTCACCAACAAATTCAGGAGTTCTTTTCTTATCAGAACAATCAGAGTGAACTTTATGAGCTGCCGTACTTTTGTAATCACCATTAGACTCATCCAACTCTTTCTGAATCCTCTGCACTGTTCTCAGAATGACACCCAAACACTCTGAAATATTTATATTGGAGCTTCCAGCATGAATGCCAAGCAGTACAGCATGCGATTTTAAAATTTCTAGCAGAGTGAATTGCATCATTGTGTTTTTTTCTCAGAGAAGGTGCCCAACTGACCCTACTATACTGCGCATTCAACAAAATCAAAAGCAAACACAGAAAAGTAAAAATATAAAATGGTAACAATTTACCCATCACACTCTGTATATATTCGTTTATACTTCATTTAAGATAAATAATGATTATCCTACAATGTTGGTAAATGTTCTTCAAAAAAAAAAAAAAAAAAAAATTTAAAGAAAGATTTTAAAAATTCCTAAGATTTAAAAAGTACACAGATATCAATGGTGTAAGCTATGCATCTCCACAGGTTTGCAATACTAAGGTTTAAAATTAATTTTTTAAAAATGAAAAAATTTTCTTGGGGCTTTTATTTTAGTTTTAATTTCAAGTTAATAGATTAAATTTAATATTTCCAATAAGCAAAATACTTTGCAGTATTTCAAACCTAATTTAAATTGCCTGGAAAGAGTTTTCATTTTGAAATTGCCATTTTTAGCTATCTTTCATCACAATGTAATTCTCTTTATTAAAAAAGCTTTTCTGAAATTTTATTTGAGGAATATTAGCTGATTTAAATTTTTAATTAATCTGATTTGAGACAAATATTACTTACTTTAAGTATAAAATATTGCAGAAATGCATTTTTAACATGGTGGTAGCTGTTTAAGGTGTTGACGGGCTGACTAACAGACAAAAGTTTATCTAATTTTTTCCTTTATCTTCAAAATTTACTTGAGGAATATATTCTGAACATGTTCTTTATATAATTTTTAACTACCAAGTAATCTTTAAAATTTAGGAAATATATTCTCCATAATCTAATATTTTATTCAATTTTATTGGCTTTAAATTTACTATTTACTTATTTTCTGATAAATGTAGTGTATGGATGTCCATATTTGCAAAAATCAACATATTTATATACAAAAAAAAAAAAAAAAAAATTCATAATTCTTTTTAAAATATTGGTGGTCAGTAATACAGAAATTTAAAAGATTTAAAATTTTATAAATTATTTTAATTCAAATTTAAAAAAAAAAAAAATGAAAATAATTCTTGTAAAAATTCATTATTCAATAAAAAACATTTTTTACTGTCCATAATATATCTTATCCATAAAAGCAATTAAATGCTTTTTTTAATTAGATTATGTCTGAGTTTTATTGCATTTTTATTTTACAATTCAGAGCAGATTTTCTGTAGGTGGGAGGGTCTTGTTTTACAAAAAGAAATTGAGGATTTAAATTCTTCAAAGAATACTGCTTTAAACTAATATAGACATTAAGCTTTAATTTCTTGAAATTTCATAAAATGTAAAAAAATAAAATAAAATATATTCTTACCAAGATTTTCTAAAAAAAAAAAAAAAAAAATGATTTCTAAAATAATTGAAATAAGTCCTGAAAGTTTCATTATAATCCAAAAATTATTTGATTTTTGCAAGAGTTTCTAAATCAATATATTTTTCACTGCAAAAAAGGTGCTAAAATTTCCTATACTAATCTTTGGTCCCCTACTGACCAAAAAAAGATGTTTAACCAAAATTTCGAATATTCTAAAATAGATAAGAAAAATATAATTTAATAATTAAAAAATCATTTGTTCTTTTCTCTATGAAGATTTTGATGATAAAACTGTTTTTATTAAGTTTGAGGGCATCCTTTAATCATAGTATTAGTAATACTGTAATCATAATGCTAATTTTTTAGCGAATCAGTGGAGTTACCTAATGTAAGTATGGTTTCAAACTTGTCATTTATAATAGATAAGTTCTATAAGTCTATCAAAATCAGGAGTTTCGTTTTTTATATTATGAAAAACAGGACCAACCTTCTAAACCGATTTAAAAAAAAAAAAATCATTTTTCGATTCTGACAAATGTCTGATAAGTAATGAATGCTAATATCCAAAAAAAATAAAAAATAAAAAAATAAAAATAAAAAAAAAAATAAAAAAATAAAAATAAAAAAAAAATTCCTTATTTTTTTACGAGTGGACCAGTCTATTTAAGTAGTGACGAAAAAAAAAATATTCAAGTAGAATTTTAATTTTATTTTACCACATATAAGCAAAAAAATGAACTGAACTTGATTTTCCAATTTCTTGATTTTCCTGCGCTCACTCTTCTTACAAAGCGTATTTGGCTAAAGAAAAAATGCAGTAAAAGCCTAAAAGGAAAACTGAAGTCGACACAATTTTATACAAGTATCTTGATACACTATTTTTGACGAGATTCCGTTGGGACAACACTACGCCACCTAAACAGGTGTCGATCGAGGCCGATGGATTCCATATCTTAATAAAAAGTGATCTGAGTTACCTCCCTTATAACGTTCGATAATTTCACATTGTGTGCACGTGCACAATTACAAGTGTAGAAAATGAAATCAACGTGCCGAGTTCAAATTCCGGCCTGGTACGTTACGTTCACTTTCGCACAAAAGCCCTCATCTCTAACCCCCAGCTATGGGCTAATTAGATGGGCTGAACTTGGGTAGCGGCCAGTAGAATAGGAAACGACTCCACTATATTTCCCAAGAGATGTTAAGGAGGGCTATTTGCAGATAATAAAGAAAGGAAATTTGTGGCGAATCATGCGCCAA